TGTCATACCTATACAAATATACAAATTTATGTCCTCATTTGTCACAAAAACATGCGCACACACACACACACACACACACACACACATGTGTGTGTGTGTGTGTGTGTGTGTATGTGTGTGTGTGTATATATATATATATATAATATATAGGCTATATGTATGTGCGTGTGTGCGTATATAGATGTGTATGTGTGTGTGTGTATATATATAATCTTTATAATAATATATAATCTATATAATAAGTGTAATCTTCAAAGATTATCTTGGTTTGCTTGTGTCTTGGATTGCTAAAGTTCTCATCTTGTCTCAGTATGTGTTGAACATGCAGTGCAGTAGCAGAGTTTAACGGGAGGCCAGGTGTCCCCTGGCAGGGCTCCGCTTTCAAACACGATCCTCCATCTGTCTCTTTTTTGCCTCTCCTTTCTTCATTTGTTCATCGGTAGGGAAGAACAAGGTGAACTCTGTCCCTGATGCTTTTACATAAGACTGGACGATTATTAATCAGGCATTATAAATAAAAGTATATCTGTGAAAAGCTTATTTAATAGCAATAATTTTAAGTTGTCTGATGCTCCATATACAAGTGAGGTTTTAATTTCTGGTTTAATTTTTGGTTCTATGGGTTAAAGTGATAGCTCTTTAACTTGCCTTCTTAGTAATTACGCTGAAATGACTGGGTTGTTGCAAAGTGAAGTTTTTTGCTCTGTAATAACAGTGTAGAATGTGCTGAATCCCCATGGAAAACTGAGCTCATCATTATCTCATGAGAAAAGACTGTCTAAACATGCAGCAGCCACACAGATATGCCAGTTGTGTGATCACTGTTATCCTCCAAATAGAATATAACTGGTGGTTTCGATTAGTGGCAAAAATGTACAAATTATAGTTTATAGTCTGGACTGAGGAAAGCCAGACTTTCACCTTATAAAACATCTCAGGTTGGCTCAACTTCCAGGATCTGGTGATGGGGTTTATTTATTTATACAAATGGTCAAGAATTCAAAAGAATATAACATCCCATAATAGTACAGATAAATACTAATACAGATTCCATACTTGTTAAATTATTACATTTTGTTACATATTATAGATCAAAATTATATGCTGCCAGATGTAAGGCGTTTGCCAATTATTTTTGGAGTACATTTTTTAAATAATGTATTATTGCACACACAACACACACTTATGTATAGATGTGTGTGTGTGTGTGTGTGTGTGTGTAGTAGTATATCAAAGCATATCAAATATATCAGTATATCAATTAGGCCTATATATTATAATCAGTATTGATATGATGAGATTGTAGTGTGTGCATAAATTCTGCAGACTATAAAAAGTTTTAATATTTTTATATTATTGCATAAAGTCTAAAAACCATAGTTTTAATATTCTAATACTTTGATAAATTATTTATTGTTATTTTATATATATATATATATATAATAGTCTATTTTTCCTAATAATTAATTTTAAAATGAATTTAATATAAAATCAATGTCGCTTAAAATGCATCTTTCTAAAACCAATAAATAAAATAAATAAATAAAATTACTAAATTATAAGTGGTATCCTTCCACTGGAAAATATAGTCCCTATATGTAACAAAACTAATGATCCGCAGTGATATAATAAACAGGTGTTTCTCGTCGTACCTAATACTATATTATGGATTTTAGGCTGTTTATTTACCATTCAGAAGCCTGAATAGGAATTATCCGCTTTATAAAACAGCAGCATAGTTATCCTTTCTTTAAAACAGAGCATTATATCCGTCAAATACTGTAATCTCCTTCTATCAATGACGGCGCTGGCTCCACCCCCTGCCTCAGAAGCCCCGCCCATCCCGTGCGCATCCCGTCCGCATTCTGCAGGAGGCACGGGAAAACAGGGATAGACCATCCCGAGAAACTAGGGGGGGGGGTGAGTTATTACGCACCACTGTTTTAATTCATATTCACCCACGTTTAGATATTATAACTGAATTGATGAAATTTTAGTTTTAGGATTTTGTAACTAAATAATAACCAAAGAGTACTTTGTACCAAAAAGCTAACACCTGGCACCAACCAAATTTCGTTCCACCCTTTCCCAAACTGCGCCTTGAACTCTACCGTGCTGCTGCCATGTTGGATTGAAGGATCGTTATTGCTTTAGGAGTTCGGAATGAAAGTTTATATTATGCAGTCTGTCAAAAGTGAACGAATTAAAGAATAAATAAGCCACAGGAGTAAACGAGTCGCACCTGCATCGCCCGCGCATTGAGGACAACACTACATCACCTCTACATGTATGCGGAATTCCTTACGGGATGAACGGAGCGCAGGCCATGTTGATCTGTGATTGCACATAAAATAATCTAACGCGAGACAAACGCTCAAGCTCATCCGCCTCATCCGTCAACATGAGCGGCCACCCGCCCCAGCGGAGGGTGGCAAACGTGGGCTCTCTGCTTCTGACCCCGCAGGAGAACGAGTGTCTGTTCAGCTACCTGGGCAGGAAATGCATCGTAAGTTGTGTTTACTCTCACGGCCGATCTGTAACAGTTAGTCCTTTAACCGTTAAAAGTTCAAATGCAAACCGTATTGCTTTTCAAATATCCAGCGATGCGGTGCAAACGCGTTTGTGATGTCCGTCAACATCCTCCTCACTGTCGAGGGAACGAGACCCCTGTGATTGAAATGAGATGATGTAGTAACTGTTATAAGGTATTTGTATGATTGTGAGGTGGGAATTATGTATTCCATGTGGTTTCAGGGTAAATGGCAATAGGCCTTCTGCTTGAGGTGAGGCTGGTTCGACAAAACCTAGTGAGCTACCTACGAAGACAGCATCATAAGTGCATTCTGAGTCAGCTAAATGATGCACGTGCCGATGATGCCCAGATATGCTGTCTATGTAGGCAGCTCACTAGCTAATGTAGGCTACTGTCTCAGATGACCCTCAAACTCCACCAGATGTGTCAGTTATCTATCTATCTATCTACCTACGTCTCGGTCTATCCTTCTAGCTGTGAAGCTATGTCTATCTACATGTCTTTCCATCTGTTATTCTGTCTGGGAATCTCTCTACCTCTATTTCTATCTGTGTCTTATCTAGGCCTATATGTATTTCTATCTGCTATTATATCTGTATGTAACTGGATTTAGTTAGTACAAATTAGAGCAAGGCTTTTGTTTCTGTGTTCAGTGTCAAGTAGCTAGTTATCCATTTCTGCTCAAAGTGTTAATACATTTATTTATATTTAATAACCTGCAACAATTTCTGGAAAACATCAAATTTGCATTGAAAGGAAACTTTCAGTTTGTTGTCCCTGCTAAATGAAACATCTATTCTACAGCCCTGATTATTATACCTAATTTAGCTAAATTGTCAGAAGTGAAGATATTTGGTCTTTACACTAGTTATTTATGGTTGTCTTGTCTGTCCTACTTGAGGACCCATAGTTACAGTATTTGGACACTTGCAAATGTTTAAGTCTTCATTTGCATGATTTAACAAAATATCAAACCAAATTGCATCTATGCATTTATAAAGTTATGTAGTATAGTACACTTTTGGATCACAACGTTTTACAGAGTGAAGTTTCAAGACTGATAAAACCGTACATACATTAATCAATTTAAAAGGATAGTTCATCCAAAAATGAAAATTACCCCATGATTTACTTATACTCAAAAAGACTAACTGTCGTACGCGCATTCACGAGAGAGTGGCGTTCCAGCGGATGAAGTAGGACGTATGTGTAGCGTAAGCGCCAGTGAAAACATGCTAATCTCAGGAGAACCAGTTTTGTTTACAGCAAAGGAAAACCAGTCTCTTGGCTTATATTGAAATACTCCAACATTTTTCTTTACAAATCCTCATTTTGTATTTCTAATTCGTTACCTTTTTTTTTTTTTTTTTTTGGCTCTCTCCTCTGCACTTCCGTGTTTGTCACCACATTCGCCTACGTCATGCTCTGGAACGCCACTCTCTCTTGAACGTTCTGTTTTCAAATGTTAGTGGAACATGTTTAGGGCCGTGCAAAAAATCGAAAGGGTAGTTCACTGACAAGCTACACAAAATCGCATTCAAAATCGGCAATGAATCGCCTGCAATTTTGAACGCGATTTTGTGTAACTTGTCAGTGATCTACGACTCTGTAATAAATGCCGCTCCATCTGAAAGCAGGTGATGGAGATTTACTACTAATCACGGAACCGGCTTTACTGATGAGATTGCATGACAATCGCATACGATTAATTGCACAGCCCTATTAACACCAGTTAGTTTAAAATAATCTGACAAAACTTTCAAGTTTTAAAACTGATTTCCAAATAGTTAAATATCCAAAGTGTCCAAATACCTTGTGGGGCCACTGTATGTTTCAAGTGAAAGAAATGTACCCTGTTTGTTCTTGTTAGAAATGTCCTGTCCCTTGCCCTACAAGGAAGCATTTGTTAGAAAAGTGTCCTTATTTTTCCAAAATTCCTCTTGCAGCACATTCAGGTGACGAGTCACATGTTAAGCACGTCGTGTATTTGGTTCTTAGTAGTTTTTTGATGCATGAAGATGTTTTTTTTTATATAGTAATATACATGAATTGTTCAAAAAATGATAAGAAATGGATAGGGAAGGAATAAGCTTGGTCAAGAAACAACTAGTGTTTCATTTATATATTTCGCATTAAATTCGATTCACAAATATGGCATTCTTTCCCATCAGACCTACTTAAGTTGCTCGTCCATGTCTAGGTGGAAGCGACATGAACGCGAGCGGTGTCAGTCCAGGAACGGCAGCCAAGAGCCCGGCCATAAAGTGGGCTTTCACAGGGAATGACTAAATATGAGACACGTCGTTTGGGGCCAAGATCCAGCAGTCATGGGTTCATTCATCACTGTGTCCCGAACTGGCACCAAAAAACCGAGGGCAGAGGGTGGACGGAATCCAAATCGCACAATAGTGAGAGAGATGGAGAGAAGGGAAAAGATAGGGGTTGGGGGTGGGGTTGTGCGTGATCAGCAGTCTTTGAGGACAGGAAGTCAACTGATCTGCCTCCTTTCCATGGAGATTTGAGCTTTAATGAATCGAACTGCTGAGCCAGTACTGATCCAGAATCAGGTTTCCAAACACACCAAACCAAAGTCTGACACAAAGTCATGATCCCTGTGAAATGTACGTCTTTAATGCGTATTTAAGTTCTTGGCGAAGACTTTTGCAGACAGGAATGCCATACGGATGCAGAAAAACCTGGCGAATATCCATCAGTCGCCTCTTTTGGATGTTGGGTTCAGTGTTTGTTGAGTGCGATTAAACCCAGCCGATCAATCAAAAGTATAGGTTTACAAATCAGTGTGAGTGTGTTTGGCAGCTTTGAATGCAATGAGTGTATATTGTTTATATCATACGGAAACTCGACTCTTTCTTGAACTTGCTGAACTCTGAATACAGTAGTTGAAGGTTTAGCGATGTCCTTGAATCACTCGGCCCACCAAGACAGAATGAGTGCTCATACTCAAATGCTGAATGTGCAGTCTAGAGCATGAGGAAGCAGTTTTTCATCAGAAGAAATGAAGGGAAGTCTTGTTTCATTGATGCTGCTGTTACTGACGTGGCAGGATCGTAATGAGTGGAGTAGTTAACCAGAATTCTCTTTTTCTGCCTTTCTCTGAATGAAAGTAATTGTACATTTATATTTATTCATTTTTTTAAATAAAATATTTGCACATGCCATTGTTAGATGTAGATGTTTTTTGGATTAATTTTCAGATTAATTAATTTATAGAATAAATTATTGATTATCAAGAGTCTTCAAAGTTCACAACATTCAATGCTTGAATAGACTTCACTGATGAATGTCTATTATTTCTTTAGATAAGCCGGGCATTTTTAATTGGATTATGAAGAATTAATCAGTAAATCAATTGATTTAAAAGTCAAAGTTTATGAAATGTTTGATAAATTTAGAGTTTTTATTAGGGCTGCACGATTATGACAAATCATAATTGTCCATTATTCCCTTGAAATTGTAATTGCGATTATTAATTACGATTATCACAATTTACATGGAATTATGTTTATACCATTGTTTGATGCAAGTGCATGCCGCATTATTTTTTTAAATGAAAATAAACAAGCTGAAAACACTCTAACTGAAAAACATTTAGTGCTTTTCTATAGTATTAAGCCTCAAATGTCAACTATCTTCTTTAAATTATAAAAAAGTAAAAATATGAATGGTATTATAATGTTATACTAAAATTAAAATAATGGGAAAAACCCTTAAGATGACATGTAGAAAGAAAAAAAATGCATCTTAAGCACGCAGAATAACATAAGTGGACTTTGAACGATTAATTGACGCTTTAAACGATTACGTAATTGGCATCCATAATTGTAATCGCGATTAGAAATTTGATTAATTGTGCATCCCTACTTTTTATAATTTGTTAATCATTGAAGTATTTTTTAATCAGATTACTTTTGATAATCAATTAAATTGTTTAATCATTCAATCCGTTAATTGCTTTTAAGAGCCTAATTTCTTCAATTGATTAATTAGATTATTTTTAAAATCCCAGTCAGTTAATCAAATTACTTTTGAGAAGCTTATGTATTCAATTGGTTATCAATTAATTAATTTGATTATCAATTTCAAGCAATGAATTAAAATGCCTTTGAGAAACACATTTATTCAATTGTTTAATCCAGTTTCTTTTATAAATGTGTTCATCTGCTTATTTCAATTAATCCGATTGCATTTGATAATTGTAAAAGTCAATTCAAAGTTTATAAAATGTTTGATAAAAGTTTGACTTTATAATCTCTTAACCTATGAAGTATTTCTTTTAATCTGATTTTTGTCAAATACGTTTTTGAACAATCTGATTAAGTTGAAGTAATTCCTAATTTTGCAATTATTTTTTCTTATGTGCACACTGTTAATTGTTTAATAATTAAATAATCTGCTCGTTTCAGTTGATCATTGGTTAATCTGTTTATTATTTTTCTGTTAATCAGTTGATTAGAGATTCTGATCTAATTCTGATTCTGAAAACTGTTTGTAGATTTATTTCTTCAATTATTCAGTGTTGTTGCAGTCCTGCTGACAGGTGGTTTCTTAAGTTATTGCTTAATGAAAACGCTATAGGTCTGTATTGGTCAGAGACTTCATTAAATCATTTTCTGTTCAATGGCTTGTGGTTGTGTTGAATGCTTTCACCAGAAATCTAAAGTGTGCGTTAAACCACAGGACAGGGTTTCTTTGGTCTCCTGTAATTGCTCAGCATTAGCCTGTATGTGTGTCTTACTTGTCCATGGAAAATATTTCATCTTCTGTGAGATCTTGGCTGTCCTCCCTATGCCAGTATTGCCAAGACACTGGCCTATTTTTCCTTTCGGTAACCCGTGTCCTGAAAAAGTGTTCGAAATACTGCTTTCGGTCATGTGCATGGAACCCAGACACTCTTCGAGTAAGATTCCCTATGGAGAGTGAATAAAATGCCCCATCATGTGTGTCTCCAAGTACTTGGCTGCAGTTTAAATTACAGCAGTATTTGATATCTGCAGTGGCCGGTGTGTGCTGCAAGCAACATCATGCAGTATTCATACACTGATTTCTGTGCATTTTTGGACATGTTTACAGTTTCTGCATGATATTATTAATATGCAGTTCTGTCCAAAATGCAGCCCTGCTACTGAAATGCAGGTGCTGAGAATCATTTCACAAGAGTATGAACATGTGCCAGTGTTGGTGCATTGACCTTTTTATTTTGGACTTAAAATGTTGTTTTATATTTAGTTCTTTTTCAACTTTAGGATTGAAAAATTTGGTTTTGGTTGAGATATGATGATTTTCCATCATATTTCACAATTATTAATTATTGACAGTGTTTCTTTATTATAAGTGTGTGTTTGTATTTTACTTATACTAAAGTCTGGACTTTCTGTAGGATTTCACATTTATTTGAATGCTTTGATAGATCAAATTAATCCAAGGAATAATTCATTCAAAAATGAAAATTCATCCTTCATCGGCCGATTTTTCGCATGACCGGCCCGGATCGGTGACCGGCGGGTCAGTCTCACGTCTTGCCGATTCCGAGCCGATCCTTTTATCGCCAGCGGCGCCGGCAATGACGGTGCGCACGCTCACAGTCGCGTGTAAACATGTCGTTTCGCGTGAGAATGGTTCTAATTTTAATTGAATTCATTGTAAATGGCGACTGATAATGTATTTATGTCGTGCCAGATGAGGCTTGCACAGCCTGAGTGAATGTGTGTGAGAGACCGCACACACAAAGTAAGTGAGACTGACTTGGTTTAAAGGGGATAAAAAAATGAGAAGTGGGTGGATTTTTATCATTGTAGGGTGGTTGTTCACACACTGCCAACACGCATTTATGTCCAAACACCATGTAAAAGTGGATTTTGCATAATAGGTGCCCTTTAATGTATTGTGAAGTGAGAAGTTGCGTGTTTGTAAAAAAACAAAACAGAAAACAAATCTATCATTAAGGCGTTTTAACTTTAAACAATTGCTTCTTGCCAAAACACAATTCTGTAATCCAAAAAATGATTCCTCCAGTGAAAAAGTCCATCCCCTGTTGTCCTCGCATCAAAATCCACCAACGTATTTGTTTTGGACTGTTTCTGCTTACAAACAGTGCTTGATCTGTGCATATTTCTCTCTTGATTTAAACAAAATGACTTTTCTTATGGATAGAGGGGTAGCACTTTATTTTACAGTCCTGTTCCTCATGTACATACCTATACATGTACTTAATATAGTAATTACAATAACTAGCTGCTAACCCTGAACCTACCCCTAAACCTAACCCTACCCCATGTAGTTACCTTATATTACCAGTAAAGTGCAACCGGTAGAGGACTTGTTTTTTAGCTGGAAGCAATGATTTGAAGTTAAAAACATCTTAATGGTTTTGTTTTTTTACAAACATGCAGCTTTTCACTTCACAAGACATTAATTGATTTACTGGAGTCATTTGGATTACTTCTGGATTATTGTGATGCTTTGATCAGCTGTTTGGACTCTCATTCTGGCGGCACCCATTCACTGCTGAGGATCCATTGGTGAGCAAGTGATATAATGCTAAATTTCTCCAAATCTGTTCTGATGAAGAAACAAACTCATCTACATCTTGCATTGGCTGAGGGAGAGTGCATTTTCAGCAAATTGTCATTTTTGGGTGAACTATTCCATTAACGAATGACTGAAAAACATTATTTTAAAGTTTTTCTCTTAATTTTAGGTTAATCGATAATGAGTGTATTTATCTTGTTTCATGAAGTTCATGATTGTTTTCCTTTTTGCAGACATTGTGCTCAGCAGTGGTCCAGGTGTATGGGGCAGACAGGAGCTCGTCCTGGATCAAGAGGTGCTGTGGTGTGGCCTGTCTGGTGAAAGACAACCCTCAGAGGTCTTATTTTATCCGTGTCTTTGATATCAAGGTGAGCTCTCTGAGATCAAATAAACAGCAAAGATATCAGATCTGAGACCTAAATATTTAAAAAAAACCTTTTCTCATTTTTGCAGGATGGAAAAACAAAGTTTGAGCAGGAGCTCTACAATAATTTCACGATCAGTAGTTCGAGAGCCTACTTCATTACCTTCGCCGGAAATGTGAGTTGTTGTTTTTTTTTCTTAATATTTCACGTTGTTGACCATTAGCAAGAAAGAAAACAGAGAGAACTAGCTAGGGATGTTCTGTGGAAAAGTTTGTTTGGCTAGTCGCTTTCTTGTTGTTCTTGTAAAACTGCTTTTAGCATTAGTGATCTGGCTTTTTTGGTCATATGGTGCGTTTTGCTCTTTAGTCTTGTCAGATGGGCCTCAACTTTGCCAGTGAAGAGGAAGCCAAACGATTTCGGAGTGCACTCAACGAGCTGCTCAACAGACGACAGAGGAAAACTGGTAAATGTGCTGCGTTTAATTACTTTCCTTTTCTTTGAAGGGATGATAGTTCACCAAAAATTCTAATTATGGCATTATTCATTTACTCACCCATATGTTGTTCCAAATCGAATCCGTATGACTTCCTTTTTTTTGGTCTCAATTCAGTTTTATTTTTGGGTGAACTCACGATCAACTAATATGCTCTACATTCAGTAGTATTCAAAAAATGTCTAAAACCTTATTAACCCAAATCTGTGTTTTTCATAATAGTTCACCCAAAAATGAGAATTATAATTATTTACTCATCCTCATTTGCTGTTTAATTAAATTGATTCTGATATAGCTATAAATACAGAAACAGTGCATGCATATAGCCTTTCATTTTGATATAGCAGTAAATAAGAGTACAGTCTAGACCAATGGTCGACCAATTGATTGGTTATGCTGATTAATCTGCACTGATAGTTGATTACTAGAACTATCAGTTATCAGCAAACATCCATACCGTTAGTAGGGGTAAATTTTTATACCATAGAAATCTCATAATTCTTGTCACCAGTGTCAATATCACAAAAAAGTAATACTAGCCTAAGAAAAGTCAGATCAAATAAGAAACTAATTACAAACAATAGGATAAAAAAGCTACAGCAGAACAAATAAATAAATAATAGATACTACATACATTGTATAAAGTAATCAAATGTATAAAAATATTCTTCACTGTGTAAATTAAATATATATATTTCTTATTATTAAATTTACAAAAGTGATTGTCAAGAGCAGGTTTTCTCTCTTTTGTTGTCTGATTAACATGAATGACAGACAGCAGGAATATTAGACTACTGTCACTTTAAGAGCTGCCCAGATCCAATATACTGTCACACACGTGTTTTCTTTCTCAGCTGTTTGCTTTCACTGAAGACCTAAATTGCTTTGTTTGTTTACAAGGATACTTGCAAATACTGCCATTTTGACACGCACAAGTGTGTGAATTTAACCGTTCATGGCCTATAAAGTTGCATCTGTTAACGTTAGTTAATTAACTAAATTTGATGAATGTATAGTTAATATTTAATATTAATATTTTTATTCAAATTTGAATGTGTGGTTCAGTACGTTTTTCTTTTTTTCTTGTAATAAAGTTCAGCACTGTTTTAGTTTTCATTCGGTATCGGTTGATTAATCGGTTATCAGCCAGTTTGGTCAAACTTAGCTATCAGTATTGGTAAAATCCACTATCGGTCGATCTCTAATACAAACCATACTTGAATAAAGCTTTTGATTCTGATTTGGAAATAAATAAAAAACAAACATAACAAATAAACCAACAAAATTATTATTTTTTTTTTTTACCATTGATATGGATTTGATTCTGATATAGCAATATCTAAAACAAATAAAAAATAAACGTCTCTAACGTCTCTATAAAAACAAGTAAATAAATAGGAATATATCTTTCTGTATAATGAAAGTTCATAAGAACTGGAGTTATCAAGCTTTAAAATGACCAGAAAAAAAGTTGCTATGATGACTTGTGATTTTGTAATAGTATATTACAAAATATCTATTGTTATTAGTTAATATATGAACACACAGTCCAGCTCCTGTTGGCATGTTCATGAGAATAGTGACATTTCATCTGAGAATCAGACATTCCAGTTCACAAAACCATTCTGACTGATTCAGTTTTTGGATTCAACTCAATTGACTCAGTCAACGAAGACCTACATTTTAGTTTGTTTGCAACACAAATCAATAGTATGACTTCAGAAGAATTAAAACAAAACTCAAAGCTCATACTTATTATCATATTTTTATTGGTGCTTTTTTGTCTTTTTTGAAGCTTGAAAACTCCAGTCATCATTCATTGTAATTTCATGGAAAAGAGCGACCAGCACATTATTTAAAATATCTCCTTTTTTGTTCCACAAAAGAAAGCAAGTCATATGAGTTTATAATGAGATGTGGATGAGTTTGTCATTTTTGGGTGAACTTTTCCTTCAACACACTCTCTTATTAAAGAGATAGTTCACCCAAAAATGAAAATGTGATGTTTATCTGCTTACCCCCAGGGCATCCAAGATGTAGGTGACTTTGTTTCTTCAGTAGAACACAAACAAAGATTTTTAACTCAAACCATTACAGGTCTGTCAGTCATATAATGGAAGTGAATGGGAATCACGGCTTTGAGAGTCAAGAAAACATACACAAACAAAACCAAATTAAACCCTGCGGCCCGTGACGATACATTGATGTGTAAAGACACGAAACGATCGGTCTGTGCAAGAAACTGAACAGTATTTATATAATTTTTTTTACCTCTGATTCACCACAATGTCTGTACTGTCCTGAGCGTTCGCGTCTTCTTCGTCCGGCGCGTGACTCGTCGTCGTCATCTTCTTCTTGCTTTACGGCATATCGCAGACTTATAAGTGTATTACCGCCACCTATCTCTCAAATGGACCATTGACACTCTATCTACAATCTCAATTCGGAGTGTCAGTGGTCCATTTGAGAAATACTGTAGGTGGCGGTCAGGACAGTTCGGCCATTGCGGTGAATCAGAGGTAAAATACGATATAAATACTGCTCAGTTTCTTGCACAGACCGATCGTTTTGTGTCTTTACATATCAATGTATCATCACGGGCCACAGGGTTTAATTTGGTTTTGTTTGTGTATGTTTTTTTGACTCTCAAATCTGTGATTCCCATTCACTTCCATTATATGACTGACAGACTGCAACGGTTTGAGTTAAAAATCTTCGTTTGTGTTCTACTGAAGAAACAAAGTCACCTACATCTTGGATGCCCTGGGGGTAAGCAGATAAACATCACATTTTCATTTTTGGGTGAACTATCCCTTTAAGCTCACATTTTCTTGTTAACCTGTTGCATGTTATTTTTATTTAGTAATCTCCTGAATAAGCTATTTAACATAACATGTTTATATATATTCTCCACAAGACAAAATAATAATTGAATTTATAAAAATGACCCTGTTCAAAAGTTTACTTGAATCTTAATAATCTGTGTTGTTTCCTGGATGATCCACAACTGTTTTTATATTTTGTGATAGTTGTTCATGAGTCTCTTGTTGGTCCTGAGCAGGTCAACTGCCTGCTGTACTTCAGAAAAATCCTCCAGCTCCTGCACATTCTTTGGTTTTCCAGCATCTTCTGCATATTTGAACCCTTTCCAATATTGACTGTATGATTTTGAGATCCATATTTTCACACTGAGGGCATCTGAGGGACTCATACACAGCTACAGTATCACAAAAGGTGGAAACATTTACTGATGCTCAAGAAGGCAACACAATACATTAAGAGGGTGTAAACTTTTGAACAGGATGATGATGTGTAAATTTTTCTTATTTTGTTTAAAGATCATATTTTTTTAATTTGGCACTGTACTTAAGAAGCTACATAAATACTTAAATGTTTCCCAGAAGACAAAGTAAGTACAATTTACCCTGATCATCCAATTAAAAAAGTTTACACCCCCCAGCTCTTAATGCATTGTGTTGCCTTCTGGAGCATCAGTAAATGTTTTCACCTTATATAATTATTATGTACGAGTCCCCCAATTGTCCTCCATGTGAAAAGATGGATCTCAAAATCATACAGTCACTGTTGGAAAGAGTTCAAATATGCAGAAAATATGGGAAAACCAAAGAATGTGCAGGAGCTGGAGGATTTTTCTGAAGTACAGCAGGCAGTTGACCTGCTCAGGACCAACAAGAGACTCATGAACAACTATCACAAAATATAAAAACAGTTGTGGATCATCCAGGAAACAACACAGATTATTAAGATTCAAGTAAACTTTTGAACAGGGTCATTTTTATAAATTCAATTATTATTTTGTCTTGTGGAGAATATATA